AATTTCCTGCTGGCTCCTTTCCCCGCACCCAAGATGGCGGTTTCCGCCTTCCATGCTCTCACTCGAGGCTCCTCCCGCCCCAGACCCTGCGCAGGGTTCGCGCTTGCGCAGAAGCGTCCGTGCCACACTGAAGAGGGCTTCTTTGCCCTGAGTCCGTATGGGAGGGAAATAATTTCGCTGCCCGCATCCAATATGGCCGCGGAGCCAGGCGGAGCCACCGGCCCTGTGTCGCGTCAAGATCACGTGCGGCGGAGCCAGCCACTCAGCTCTGCCGCCGGCGGCTTCCCCCGTGACCGTTTTCGCGAGTGACGCACAATTTGTGCTCGCACACACGGCGGGGTGTCGGTGCGGCGCGTGGGCAGGTGAGGGGTCTCGGAGCCGGCGGTGAGCCCCGCCCGTTAGGGGCAGCGGGGCACCCCAGGAGCGCCTGGGCTGCCCCGCTGCCGGCGTCCTCAGAGGCTTTGCTCCCCATCTCCCTGGTCTGCTGGTGTCCAGCAGACCAGGGAGACGGGGAGCAAAGCCGCGGAGGACCCAGGCGGCGGGACCACGGTGCATCTCGGTCCGCCGCCCGTGTCTTCCTGGTCTGCTGGGGTGGGGGTGGGGGGGGGGCCGCGCCCCCCCCCCCAGCCGTAATTCGCCCCCTTTGCCCTTCGTGCCAGCGTCCCCCCAAATAGTTCCCGGCCTTCGGGGCAATGCGCGGTGTGGTCTGAGTGGGCGGGCAGGGGGTGAACAGGCTGGTCTCTCTTCCTCACTTCCCACCCGACAGTCTGGCCAGGTTCTCAGCTCTGTTACTTTGGAGAGCTGATGGTATCGGTTATAAGCAGGTGTCTTGTGGGGTATAAAGGCCAACAGGTTTATTTGGGCATAAGCTTTTGTGGATAAAAAAAAAATCACTTCTGTCAGATGCATGTGTCAGTTTGAGACTTGGTATGGGAGGCTGTGGGAAGGCAGGAGCTGGTGCTCACAAGGAGCCTGGTGTCAGGCTTCACCTGGCATTTCAAAGTGGCAGCACTTCATGGAGCCCCAGGTCAGCAAGGGAGTCCCCAGCTGACACCAGGCTCCACATTCTTTTCAAGCACCCCCTTCTCTCCTCCCTTGCCCTCCTGGCTGCTCTTTCTGATAGAGGCAGCAAGGTGGGGGGAGAGAAGCATCTAGTCAACTAGTCCTTCACATCCCTAGTTGAATGTAAAGAAAGCTGGTTTTATGCTATCCAGTTCAAGTCTTTGTTCAGGCCAAGGGAAGCTGTAAAATTTACGTATGAAGGTCAGTTCCACACTCTGAAGTTGGCTTATGAAATTCCTCTGTAGGAGAATGGCTTGTTTAAATCCATTTCTTACACTGCAATCCAGCATGGGGTCAGAAATAGCAGAGTTAGAGCAGCCCCTGCCTGTGGTAGTGGCGGTGCTCCAGCTGTCAGCCCTCAGTTAATCAGTTAAACTTAAAGTTTAACTGGTTAACTCACGAAGCAGGATTTTACATTCCTAATCTCAAACCATTTGGACTGTCATTGGTTATGATCACGTGAGAGATTGTTCAGATAAGTTAGAGGAAGAAAAATCTTCCCTCTTATGAGAATTTTGATTCATACTCCATGCTCACAAGGGGAATCAATTTCTTGTCTTTCTAATCTAGTGTGTGTGCTGTTCCAACTCATCTATATCTGTACAGGCTGTATTTAACTTCAGAACATCTTGTAGTTGCTGAGTTGTTTTTAATACTACAGTACTTGATAATCAATACAATTAATTTTCTGCTACATAATGGGCAAATACTCTCACTGCTTTATTTGTGATTTTTATGATAGTAACCATATCCTAAATAATCTCCTTTTATGCCGTTACAGGAATACTCATTGAATCAGTAGCATGCTGGCAGCAAGATTAGTGTGTCTACGGACACTGCCATGCCGGAGTCTCCGTCCTGCATTTTCACGGGTCTTCCCAACTTTGAGGAATTCCAGCATAAAAGCAAATCAATGGACCCTGCAACCTAACCAGGTAAGGTAGCTTTTTTTTAAACGTTGATGAGAAATGCTTATAGAAAAGGTCTCAAATTAGGCCCATGAAGCCATTTCCATGCTTACTAGAAGGTACATTTTGGTGCAGATGAAAATGTAAGTGAGCTAATTGCAATGGAAGGCCCAACTTAATAAGGCAACAACACTTCAACTTCTTATTGAAGCAACAACCTACTGTAAAATTAGGTTTTTAAACTGGCTTTCCTCACAGACTGGCTCCCGCCTGCCACCTCTGATAGAGAGGCAGCAGCAGCATGGGAGAAGGTGGGTATTCCCAGGAAGTGGGGTCAGGAGCACAGTGGCTGCCAGCTCCACCTCTGGGGGCTATCGAATAGTCGTGTAACCGCTAAAATTTTGAGTGGTTAGATGACTATTCAATTACACGCTATCTAACATCCTTAGAACTGAGTGGTATTTCTTGCATTGCCTTCCTATTTAAATGTCATGTGCATCTTGAATAACAGCACTTATTGGAGATGTTCAGATTAGGAATGTAAAGGATTAACTGGTTAATCAGTAGCCTGTCTGGGCTTGAATAGACTCCCCACTGTGCTTGGCCATGCCCACCATGTCCAGGGGACTGCTCCAGCTTGGCTGGAGCAGCTCCTCACCCACATCACAGTGGCAGTCAAAAAAGGAAACAATGTTGTGAACTTATTAAGAAAGGGAGAGATAAGGCAGAGAATATTATATTGCCTCTGTATAAATCTATAATATGCCCCTATCTTGAATACTGTGTGCAGATGTGGTTGCCCCATCTCAAAAAAGATGTTAGACTTGGAAAAGGGCAATAAACATGAGAGAGGTATTGTACAGGTTGCATATCAGCAGGGATTAATAAGGCTGGGACTGCTCAAGGTAGAAAAAGGGCAGCTAAGTCTGCGGGGGTATGATTGAAGGTCTGTAAAATAACTAGTTTAGAGAAAGTAGATAAGGAAGTTAGGGATGTCAACATGTAGTCCATTACACATTTAACCAGTAAGCTTGGGCCTATTAATAATGTTGACTACACGCACTCTCTCCACTCCTCTTTGTAGCTTCTGTTAGAGGTTGGGGGGAGGGTGGCGCCTCCCCGCTGCTTCCCACAGAGGCAACAGCTGTGGGGGGCAGCGGGAGCCAGCTGTTAAGCCAGCCCTCTGTGCATGCTAGCTTCCATGAAACTGCCTGCCCAACCTCTCACACAAGCAACAGGGGGAGCAGGGCAGGAGGGAGCTGGTGCACGTGTAACTGCTAGGTATGTCAGCATTCAGTCATTTAAATGAATAACCAAGAAACCTAGACTTGTTGGTTAATCCAAATGACCAGGGCTCGACAAATTATACAATCTACTCGCCCTAGTAGATTGTAACCTGGAAGAGCTGGGTTCCGGCGATCTGCGCATGAGCAGTTTGCCGGACAGTGCGGCTGGCGAGCCCTGCAAATGACTATCTGCAACCTTCTCCCCCCACCCTTTGCACTGGCTCCATGGAGCTACCTCCCCACCACCATGCCCTCCTTCGCGCTGCCACTTTTGTATCAAAGGTAGCAGTTTGGGGTGGGGTGGGGGACCCTGAGCTCCCGCAGACAGGGGCTGCTGCTGCTGCGGAGCAGCCTCTCAATGTAGACAGATGCTGATGCAGCAGAGCTTGGTAATCTTAAATATAACTCCTTTTTTACTTATACTATGAAATAATGCAGTTCACTTGTTTGATGTTTGTATTGCTATGCACTGAAACAATTGTTGCTGTTATTCTGTAGCTACTGCTTGTAATTATGTAAATCTTTATTCTAGGACTGGGTGGGCAAAAGGGCCTCCATGGCCAGGACTCAGCCTGCCAAGTGGTTTAATCCGTCCCATGGAAGTCCTGCTGCTCTCTTGCCCCTGGGTCAATCAGGGCCTAGAGCTGGGGGAGGGTGAGGCACTTAAGCTCTGCATACCGGAGGGCAGGAAGCGAGACAATTCACATGATCCTTCAGACCCTATTGGCCTAGTGGGTTGGGGCAGTGTGTGAAGTCTCCTCCCACTGCCAGGGGTGCGGGCACCTAGTGGGAACCTCTAGCTGTTCAGAACAGCTGTCAGTTCTCGGAGGGGGGGGAGGGGAAGGGCAAAAATTTCACGCATTCTCTGCCCCCCAGACCAATCTGGGTCTGTGGATGGGGAAGCATTGAAGTATCTTGACCCCGCCCCTTCTGCCTGAGGCTCTGCCCCTACAAGGGCATCCCAGGGCCACTTCAAAAATTTCTGAAGTGGCCTCCAGTTAAAAATTATTGCCCATCCCTGTTCTAGGGTCTTTTTAACTGTCTTTCCTTTCTATCTGATCATAATAGGGGTATGCCTCCAAAGCAAAAATGGGAGTTCGGCGAGGAAGAACTGATCAAGAAATTAAAAAAGCAGCTTTTGAGCCAGCAATGGAAACTGCATTTAAAGGTTTTTTTTCTAGTATTCAGAATGTTTGAACACACATTGTTAAACTTATTTAAAATAAATCAATTTAAAATCATTGACTTAGTTTGACAAAGTGTCAATTAGTGATGTAAAATCCTGGTTAATCATTTAACTGATTAAACCTTAGGATTAACTAGTTAACTAATTAAGCGGGATCCTTCATGGAGGGACTGGCAGCAGCTTCTGCTCCTGCCCTCCCTCCCTTCCTCCCTGCCTGCCCAGAGGGCAGCTCCCAACCTCTGTGGGATTGGAGCAGCCCTCTCGCCAGAGTGGGCCATTCCTGGGTTCCGGTTACCCATTCCCATCCGTAATGTCAATTATGCTTTTGAAAATAAATGTTTTAAAATTGATTTTTATGCTTCTCTGTGACATGGAGCAATTTCTTGTTTAAGTAGTGATAACCAGGGCTCACCAAGCCATGGCGAGCCCCACTCGCCAGCTGCGCTGTCCGGCGTTCTGCGCATACACAGATCGTTCTGCACATGCGCAGATTGCCCGAACCCGGCTCTTCCGGGATGTAATTTACTCACCACAGGCGAGTAGATTACATAGATTGTTGAGCCCTGGTGATAACCATTGTAAAATTGTAGAAATTTCTTAAGACACCTCTTTTAATCATTCATACATCAAGTGGTAAGTTTCTTAATAAGTTAAATATATTTTTTAAGAAGCAGAGATATTACTTTAATATGTAGGATTTATATTTGTGGAGTTGCAATATCACTAAATTATTCTCTCTCTCTTATAGATGGGTAATCAAAGGCAAAAAGGTTAAGGGAGTTTCCCAAGTCGTATAGTATGTCAGTAACAGAATTCAGATCTAGTATTAGTGTAAAATTGAAGGTGGGGGGGGTGCAGAAAGAAGGAAAATAAATGAAGTTCTAGTTCCAGGGTCTGCTCTTCCTGATCAGCTACTCTCAGCTTGTATAATTTTAAAAAATAACTATTTGCTTTTGAATTGGCAAGGTTTTAAACAATCACCTCAAGTGACTAAAGAGAACTGGCTCAAACTGAGCCTGAGTGTCAACAAGTATAGTTCAGTTGAAATCACTGAAATTTGAGCCAGTTTACAGTCCCAGTTGGACTTGTATGGTCAGAACTTCTGTGGTCTGGCATCCCCATGGGCGCTTCCAGGTTGGAGCACTCACCGTGGGGCAGAAGGGAACTGGGCCCCACACTCAGCAATTCCTCCCCTCTTTCCCAGAGCTTCCAGAGCACCACAAATGAGCTCTTTGCAGCACTTCAGAATCTCAGGGAGGGAGGAGGAGTTAGGGACAAGAGGATACTTGAGGGAAGAAGCAGGGTGGTTACAGAGTCCTGAGTCTGGTGTGGCCAGGAGCACAGCCCCTGCAGCCGGTGGCAGCAGAGGGGCAAGTATTGACCAAGTGGGGACTGGAATGTGAGTGCTCGGGAAGGAAGAGGCAGGGTAACTGTGGAGCCCTGCACTCAGCCGCAGAGGCTGGGAGCAAAGCTCCGCAGGTGCTGGCAGTCCTGGCCTCCAGCCTTGGGGCTCCCTGGACACCATGACGTTCCTCCCTCCTCCACTACCCCGAGCTCTGCTCCAGTCCCCATTTGGTCAATACTGTCCCCTCTGCTGCCACTAGAGAGCAACTCCTAGTAGCCAGCAGCAGCAGAGGGGCTGGCATTAACCTCCCCTGATCTGGAAAATTCCCTGATTCAGGACTGGCCAGATCCAGAGGTGCCAGCATTTGTAGTTAGCAAGAAGCATATAGCATTGGAGAATGTAATCTACTGTCATAATGTAAGCAAGGCAGATGCCAAATGTGCTAGCTTCAGATACACATGAAGTTCACATCTCTGCTTATTTAAATATGGATTTGCCACATAGACTACAAGGTGGTTACTGTACACATGCACTCTGGAGCTCTGTTTACATCAAATCTTTAACAAGAATTTTTCCAATTAAAAACAAACCATGCAACTGGAAATAAGAAAAATTGCTACTTCTCATCTTACAGCAGTGTCAGTAACATCAAATTTCAGGTCTTTCTGATGAATTAAAAATTTGTTAATGGTTGTCAATTGAGAATAGGTTTAGAAACTAATGTTGAGAGGGCATAAGGACAAGAGACCTGATTTTTTTTCTCTCTCTCCTGTTTTAATGAAGAAACTAAACTAGCGATATGTTCCTTTCATCTAACTAATCAGTGAGTGACAATGTTCTTGGGTTTTTTTTCATTCTTTGATTTTGTTCCACTTCATAGTCTTCGAAGTGGCTGTTTCCTATGGTAATAAGAGAAACTTAAAACATAAAACATTTTTCTTAATCACATTGATAGCTAGCTGTAATTTGAAGCAGTATCATGTTCCTTTATAAATTTAGTTTCATATGGAAGAGAAGCAAGTAGTGTGAGTGACAAGTTCCTATAAAATGATACATTAACAGGTAAAGCTTTTATTTCTTTGGACATTGTTTTATAAGTCTTGAGGTTTTTTCCCTTTCAGGTTTGTTTTTGTTTGTTTTATTATATAAAATTAAACTGAAATTGGAAAACTGTTCTACTCAGTCCCCAGAAAAAACACTTATAGAAGTATTAATATTTATTTTCTGTTCTGCAGTTGACCAGATGGGAAGATGGATTGTTGCTGGAGGGGCTGCTGTTGGTCTTGGAGCTCTGTGTTATTATGGAATGGGAATGTCCAATGAGATTGGAGCCATTGAAAAAGCTGTGTAAGCAAAATATCAGGCTCATTTCAAAACAAGGCTAGATCAGTTGAAACTCGCCTTTACTCACATACCAATTTCTCTTTAACCAGTCTCCTCCTGTGCACACGTAGTTCTTATGACTTTAAACTGATTCTTTTTAAAGAAAAATCCTGGTTTCTGGCAGAAAGCATTGATTTTTACATATAACTTGAAAACAAATGTTAAAGCTTTGGGTATACATGTAATTTGGCTGACTACTATAAATATCCCACCTTCTATCTTGCAAACTTTGCATGTTTTTGCTTCCTGCCCCTTCTAAAATTGTATCTGCCTTCTTGTCTGGGAAATGTTGTGAGTTTTGATATAGGTAGATGGTCTAATTTCTGTGAAAGTGCTAGTTAAAGCTACACTACCTAGAGTCCCTGTGAGACCCTGTTCAGGAAGCAAAAATAGCTGCTTGAATTTGCCAAGAGCTATAAGAAAATTTAAACATTTTAATAAGATCTTAACTATTCCCTATCTACCTGTCTCTTGCAAGCACTAACTTACAAAATGTTACCCGCATGACACACTCTGTTCCATGTCTACATTGGAGGTGGAGCAGCCTGGCTAATGAAGCCTTCCAACAATGAGCTGTTTAAAAATTATAAATGTGTGGGCTTCATTAGAAGGAAATCTTACACAGTTTAGTAAGTTTATCACAAGGTTCAGAATGGAAGGAGATAGGAAAGAAGCAGTATTCCAAGCTTCATGTATTCATACCTTGTGATGACTCTCATTGGCCTCCTATGGTGCCAATCTTCAGATTACAATTGGCAACCTTCTCTGTTGTCATTTAGGACACATTAATATGAATGGGGAAAGTTTGCACTTCTCAGGTTGTCTGCAAATTTATGTGGAAAATAGTTTGTAAAACAGAATGTGGTAGAAAACATGCATAACTGTTATAAACTTCCACTAGCTGGAAGAAAGTCCGTCCTTCATAGAATTTCTTTTTTAAACATAGTAATGAAGAAGCTGTTCATAACTAAGGTTAAATTTCTACGCTATTCCTTATCTCGAAACATAGCTAGTTGCGATCATTTTTCTTGTGACTTAGCAATTTGTGAAATTTTAATTAAATTACTTATAATCATACATATACTATGGGTATGTAGACACGGGTGAAAGGAATGCACCCAGGAAGTGTAAAACTGCTTTCTTGTAAAATAGCTGCATTTATTGTAGAATGTCATCCCATGTTTAACTACTATAGTTCCATGAAAGCAACATAATTTTGTGCCTGGTGGAAGGGAAGTTACCATATTTTAGGATTTGTTACAGATTGTGACAAATATCTCTAGCTTGAAAGTTGCATGCCACTGTAAGATGGATTTCATTACTTTTAAATATTTGTAAGTTTGAATCAGAACTAAGAATAAGCGGTGAGATCAATTAAAACATGAAAAATAGCCAAATAACTATTTATAATTTCATCTCTTTCAGTATTTGGCCTCAGTATGTGAAAGACCGAATCCGTTCTACCTACATGTATTTTGCAGGAAGTGTTGGTTTGACAGCACTGTCTGCTGTAGCAGTCAGTAGATCGCCTGCACTCATGAGCCTTATGATGAGGGGTTCTTGGCTGGTAAGGTTATACAGGCTTTCTCTTTAATCACCAAAAAGATTACTTCAAAACATGGTTTTCTTAATACTAACTTTTGGAATCTAAGACATTAAACTTTAGGGAATGTGTCTAGTTGTCTTAAAGCTGCCCTAATCACTTGGTACCAACAGTACAGCAATATGTGTTTCTTTGAATAAGGTGCATCTACACATTTCTGGTTGGTGTTTTGGGAGTGAGGTAAAAAAAGAAACTTCCTCCTCCGTACTCTAGTGTACAGGTTGTCACAGGAAGCGAGCTGCTTCAGTGATCCTCCACCCTCAGCATGATGCAGCAGACTGGTTAACAAGTTACACAGTTTAACCGGTTAATTTTTTAAATGGGATTTTACATCCTTAATGCTCAGCCACATCCTTTGGAAGTCTTGAGATGTGTGTGTCCTGCTTGTTCCTCCCTGTGAACATGCACGTTGGCATTTGTGCATGTGTGGACTATCTGAAAATTTAGTATTAAATGACATCTGTACCAGATTTTTCAAATTCATTTATCAGTTGTGCATTTTTATAGCAATGATATTGGGTCCAAATTTCCAAATGTTCAGGCTGCTGTAAATTCTACTCCTGGGGCAATTCTACACCATTGCACAATGCAGAATCTTGCAAGATTTCTGGCTGCCACTAGAGGTCGCTGGATTCTGCAGAGTCCAGGGCTCTGTGAGCAGAGCACCACTCTTTGTCAGAGCTGGGAAAATGAAGATAAAAGGGCAAAGAAGGGTTAGGCTGCACCCCTGGCAGGACAGTAAAGTGGGGGCAAAAAAAGCCCTGGGGGATGCTGCTGCCCTGCAGGGAAGAGAGTGCGGCTGTCTGGGGGCTGCCCTGTGGCAACGGGGGGGATGAGTGGCTGGGCTCTGGAGGCTCCCACAACGCCCTCAAACACCCCCCCCTAATTTGAACTGGGTGGTTGTAGGGATTTCTTTAACTCTCTACTCCTGGAAGAGTCTTTTTTGCTGTTGTCTATGTTGTTGGCTAGTATTTTGAAATAACTTACCAAAATGATTGAAACTGGAATGACTGTTTGGACAAACAAAGAGCAAGAGAATTTTGCACAATTTTTAATTACACAAAGTAAAATGTCCAGGTATACATACGTGAGTATCAAGAGATGTATGTTCAAAGGGGTGGCTGATAATATGCAGAGCATGTGTACTGAAAAGGGGAAATTTGGATAGTTGTGTAAATGTCCTGTAAGGTGGTTTTGGTAAGAACAAACCAGAAGTAGCAGCTAATGGTCTCAGTCAACCATCTAATAGCTGCTAGGCCAACAGTCCTGTTCAAGCAAGAAGCAGACAAGTTGAGCAAGACATGGTTTGGAAACAAATGGGAGCAGGGACAGATGGTATTTGCATGGGGCTTGGTAAGAAGGCATGTACAAGGACAAATGGCAAAGCTTAAATATTTTATGTACATGAAACATCATAAATGGTGATAGTGAACCATTATGGGACACCTTTGGAATTACCCAGTCAGCTGCTTCCGCATGTGTGTGTTTGGTTCCCTGGCATATCTTGTACTGGAGGGCTTTTAGACATGCAGCACCAATTGGCATTCCACTTGATTTATACATTCCTAAGATTTCGTGGGTAAAAAATTTTTACTTCTCTGGGGCTCTGCTAGAATGAGTGCTGGATCTGGGCTACTGTGTGAAGAATAGTTGTGGAAGTCAGTTAACTGTGTTTGTGCTTCGCTTTGTGTGCAGCCTTCTGCTCTTGAAAGATAATTGTGCAGAGGGGTATTACTAACTTAAGTTAGTAAAGAAATTAATATAAACAATAGGACTTTGGAGGCAGAGTAGTGAAGTGTGTACATCTGTGTGCTCTTGAATTCTTATATGGTAATACTTTATATTGCAGGCAATTGGTGCAACTTTTGCAGCTATGATTGGTGCTGGGATACTGGTTAGGTCAATATCCTATGAAGGTAATCCTGGTGCTAAACACCTTGCCTGGATGCTTCATGCAGGTTGGTGCATTTAATGTTCTGTGTCAGTTCTCAGCTGCTTAATATCAAATACTGTGTCTGTGGTTTGCTAAAAGATAAACCTACTTTTAAAGGGGAAAATAAGTTTTGTCTCCCAAAACTTTAATGACACAACTGTTGTTTTTGGGGAGGCTGTAACTTCCTTTTAGCTCTCTTCATTCCTGTTCATAGCACCTTCTGTGCGGCTGTTAATGAATATTCTTCAAAATGCCTTCCTTACTTTGGCTAGGGTTTATGGGTCAGTTCTGCAGATGTCTTTTGCCCTAAGTATGCTATGCAGCATCAGTTGCTTGGACATCACTGTGCTCTTATGTATAAATGAATTGATAACGAATCCTTCATAAGGTTAGAATGGCTATTAGCATTGGTATGTATGCTGTGCGTTTTCTCTCTTGCTATTATTCATAGAATAGTACTGTAGATATCTGCATTCTACAGACTTGTCTTTCCACTTGAGGAATCCTAATCCTCTATTCACTGTACTAAATTGCTACGGGACATCTAACCATTTCCAAAAAATGCTACCTGAAAACAGGTGGGAAACCTTTTTTTGGATCGAGGAACACTGAACCACAGAAAAATCAGTCAGGTGTGACACGCACACACCTCACAGACATGTTCCCTGATGGAGAAGCAGAATGCAGTCCCCACATAACCCTTGCAAAGCTAAACCTAGGGGGACTTGGGCTAGTAGATTTTTGTGGGGCAGAACTTTACTGCACCAGCCATGGGAAGAGGGAGCAGCAACACATTGAGCTGTAGAGATGTCAATGTGTAGAGGACTACATGATTAACCAGTAAGCCTGGGCTTATTGCTTAATCCTGTCGACTACACTTGTTCCCCTCCACTCACTGCCTCTGTAAAAGAGGCAGCAAGGGTGAGAGGAGGTGGAAGCTGGTACACCCCCACCCCTACACCCCTACGCTGCTACTCCTGTAGTGCAGAGGGTGAGGGAGGCGGGCAGGAGCTGATACATGCAAGGAGCTGACTTTAAAGCCAACTCTTCACACATGCCAGCTCTGTGGACTGTTCCCTGACTGTTGCTGCTTCCGACCTACTTCAAAGCTGGTTTCCCCCAGCACCAGCTCCGCGGTGCTGCCTGTGCCCCTCCCTATACTGTTGCCTGTAATAGCCTTCCTTGTCCCGCTGCCTGCTGCGAAGCAGCATCTGTCTGCGATGGACCTCGGGCCCACTGCAGACAGAGGCTGCTCCGCAACAGCAGTCTTTGTCCATAGTGTGTCTGGGCTTGCCATGGACAGCAGCTGCTCCGACATCCCACAGAGCATCCTCTGTCAGCAGGCAACTCGGACCTCCCATGGACAGGGGCTGTTGCCATCCCATGCTGCTGCCTCTAATAGAAAGGGGTGGCAAGGGGCTCCCCAGGAGCGCAGTGGCTGCCAGCCCCACCTCGGACTATCGAATAGTCGTGTAACTGCTAAAATTTGATGCAGTTACACAGCTATTAAGTTGCATGCTATCTAACATCTCTGAACTGTTTCCTCCCACACCAAGCAGACCTTGTGGGTCGGATCTGGCTCTCGCTTGCCTGAGTCTGGCCACATAACTCAGGGCTCCTCATTCTTCCCCTCCCACGGTGAAGAACCTGGTGCTCCAGCCCCATGGGAGGAGCTGCAGGGGCAGGGTTGTGGGGCCAGAGCACCATCATGGGCTCCCCAATGCTATGGGGAGCCCCAAGCCTCGGGGTCCAGATCCAGCCTCTGGGACTTAGGTTCTCCATCCCTTAAAAGAAGCCAAAGCTTGTCTTTCTGCCATGTTGGTTAAATAAAAATTGAGGACCTGGTGGCAGCATTGAGTATGTGAATGCACCAGACTCTCCAAAGGTCAGTGTAAGAACTTGAGGTGATTTCTTAAAATGACTCTGATTGACCAGAAGTTCCTGTTGACCTTCAGTAAATTTTCAGTAGCTCAGTAAGAACGTGGAAATAATGATCAACAATCAATAATTTCTATTTCATTATTATTAGAAAAATGGAACAAATGTTTCCTTGATATTAAAAAAATAATTACTTTAGATACCTCATTTGCAGTTAAGAAAGCAAGGCTGTTCCTTTGTTTAGTTGAAGGGACTTTAAAAAAAGATTGAAAGACTTCATTAAAAGGAATTTTATAAGAGCACTCAATGTATTTTTGAAAATTTTAAAAGAATGACCCCCAAAAAAGTTCCGCTGCCTGTTGATTATTTTCAGTGAGGCCCAAGAGAGAAATTCTTCAAAAGAGCAGATGTGCTCATGCTTCCTTCTTCGTCTTGTGTACCCTGTTTCTCTTTCTTATCACTTTTGATTTCATGGTCAGAGTTGCTAATACAGGTAAAGCATCTTCTTGAAGAGCCTGAGAGAGCTTTAATTATTTCTAAAATATAAAAAGTACACTCAAATTAACATATTAAACAGAAATACTTCTCTGAGAATGCATGTTCAGCTCAAACCTACAATAAATACCACATTAGTACATACCATTATTTTCATCTTCTAGCTCTTTTCAATTTACCAGCTGAATGATTGCTTTATGATAGCATGGCTGTGTAAGTATAATACTGGTCCTAAGCACCTCATCAGCAATCCTATGGCATCAAGTTGTGTAAATCAATGTGCAGCATAGGGATGTTAAATTTTGATTGATCAGCTAATCGAGTAGTCGATGTGGAGGCACTCGCTATCCCAGCCTGCAGCTCTTACTTCATTTTAAAGGCAGAGGTGCAGTGGGGACTGATACAAAGGTAGCAGTGGGGGGAGGGGCAACTAGTTGGACCTCCCTTGTCCAACACCCTTGGGACATGATCAGTCCTGAACGAGGGGTTTGCAGGACCGGGGAGGCCCCTCCCATCATGGCCCGTACTGCCTGCTTCTCCTGGCTAGAGCTCCAGCCCGGTCCCACTGCTCCCCAAGCAGGGGCTCCATGGCTGCTTCTGGGGCTGGAGCTCTGCAGCATCCCCCCCAGACCTCCCCGCCTCCCCAAAAAGGCTTCTGGCTGAGTTGCTGCTTCTCTCACCACTCCTTCCTCATGGCCCAACTTCCCTGTCCCTGGCCTCTGTGGTCCAGGAGCATCTGTAGTTCTGCCAAACCAGGGAGTCCCAGGTAAGGGAGGTATAACATGTAGTCGCTTACATCCCTAGTGCAGTATAATATTTCTACAGTTCTGATGGGGGCAAATAAGGCATAACTTGAATTATATCTTATGGTTCACTCATTTGCACAATAGTTTTCATAACAAGAGTTCATCATTCTAGTAACATGCTGTCAAGGCTGATTCCCCATTCTGGCCCAATGAATGCAAAAATGGGGGCCCGCAAAAGTACCCCAAAGCCTTATCTTTCCAGGCTTTGGTATAAAACTTCCCCCCCAAAAAATCTTAAAAACCTAGATTTTTGGGGATAAAATCCGCTGCCACCATCAAGAGCTTTTCTACCCACAAACAGGTGGACACTTGAAACCAACCCTAGGGCACCCCAGCTCTTTTCCCCAAAGAGCTTGAAAAAGAAAAGAGAAAATACGAATTGCAGTCTGTGGTAGCTGCCCTCTAGTCAGAGGCATGCAGATCCCACAGACAGATTTTCCAGGACACAGAACTAAACCAATATCGGGTTAATAAAAAGGAAAGAACTTTTATTATCAAAACAATCCTCCTGTTGCGAGCATAATAACTAGATGGAAAAAGTCACCAATTAACATACTCATGGGGACTCTCATGGGCTGAAACTTAGCTTCAAAAGAAAGGAAACCCATTTCTAAATATACAGACATCAGATTCCCATTCCAAAACCATAAAACAATAAAACCTAACAGATTTATCTAGACTTTGCCCTACTTACAGATGAAGTCTTTTCTTGGAGAGGGACATGTTGTGTCCCCCCCTCAGAATCTGGAGAGTCAACCGCCCAGGGACAAAGGAGGGAAGAACCAAAAATTCCTTTCTCCTAGTTTGAAATCCCTATCTGCATTTCTATTTTCTGACTGCTACCTGTCTAGGAACAGTTAACCCTTTAATCCCCAGGATGCTGCCCATCCCTCATGGTCATGACACATGCAAGTGACTGAAGTAAGCCAATTACTCAGTGTTGTCACAAAATCATCAGTGAATAATCTGTTTTTCATGTATAAGTGGGAACACCACCAGTAATGCCCACTCTGATATGAATACCATCTAGTTGTGTACTTTGTATTGAGTATTCTTACATCAAATCATAAGGTTGAAAAAGACCTCAGGAGTCCATCGAGTCCAACTCCTACTAAAAGCAGGACCAACTAAATCATCCTAGCCAGGGCTTTGTCAATCTGGGATTTAAAAACCTCTAGGGATGGAGATTCCAGCACCTCCCTAGGGAACCCATTCCAGTGCTTCACCGCCCTCCTAGTGAAATAGTTTTTCCTGATCTCCAACCTAGACCTTTCCAACCACAACTTGATACCATTGCTTCTCGTTCTGCCATCTGTCACCACTAAGAACGGCCTCTCTTTGGAACCCCCCCCTTCAGGTAGTTAAAGGTTGCTATCAAATCCCCCCTTATTCTTCTGTAGACTAAATAAACCCAAATTCCCTCAGCCTCTTCTTGTAAGTCAGGTGCTCCAGCCCCCTAATAATTTTTGTTGCCTTCCACTGGATTCTCTCCAATGCATCCACCTCCTTTCAGTAACAGGGGGCCTAGAATTGAATGCTATACTCCAGATATGGTCTCACCAGTGCCGAATAAAGGGGAATAATCATTTATTTAGATCTGCTAGCAGTGCTCCTCCTAATGCACCCTAATATGCCATTTGCCTTCTTGGCTACAAGGGCACACTAACTCATATCAAGCTTCTTATCCACTGTAATCCCCAGTTCCTTTTCTGCAGAACTGCTGCTTACCCAATTGGTCCCCAGCCTGTATCAGTGATTCTTCCATCCCAAGTGCAAGACTCTGCATTTGTCTTTTTTGAATATAATGCAGCTTATGATGGGGACTAATTTAGCTACAACTGCTCAAGGGATCTTGGAGTCATTGTGGCTAGAACTCTGAAAACATCCACTCATTGTGCGGCAGCAGTCAAAAAAAAAAAAAGCAAACAATGTTAGGAATTGTGGAAAAAGGGATCGAGAATAACACCGAGAATATCTTATTGCCTCTATATAAAACCATGGTAGGCCCACATCTTGACTACTGCATACAGATGTGATCACCTCATCTCAAAAAGATGTATTGGCATTGGAAAAGGTTCACAAAAGAGCAACAAAAATGATTCGGGGTTTGGAACGGGTCCCATATGAAAATTAAAAAGACATGGACTTTTCAGCTCAGAAAAGAGGAAACTAAGGAGGAATATGATAGAGATCTATAAAATCATGACTGGTATGGAAAATGTGAATAAGGAAAAGTATTTATGTATTCCTGCAATAAAAGAACTAGGGGTCACCAAATGAAATTAATAGGTAGCAGGTTTAAAACAAACAAAAGGAAGTCTTTCTTCACTCAGTGTGCAGTCAACCTGTGGAACTCCTTGCCATAGAATTTGGTGGAGACTAGGACTTTAACAGGGTTCAAAAAAGAGTGGATAGGTTCCTGGAGGTTAGGTCCATCAATATGTGTTAGCCAGGATGGGTAGGAATGGTGTCCCCAGCCTCTGTCTTAAAATCATAGAACTGGAAGAGACCTCAGAAGGTCATCAAGTCCAGCCCCCTGCTCTAGGCAGGACCAATTCCAACTAAATCAACCCGGCCAGGGCTTTGTCAAGCCGAGACTTAAACACCTCTAGGGATGGAGACTCCACTACTTCCCTAGGTAACCCATTCCAGTGCTTCACCACCCTCCTAGTGAAATAGTTTTTCCTAATATCCAACCTGGCCCTCCCCCACCACAACTTGAGACCATTGCTCCTTGTTCTGCCATATGTCACTACTGAGAACAGCTTCTCTCCATCCTCTTTGGAACCTCCCTTCAGGAAGTTGAAGATTGCTATCAAATCCCCCCTCACTCTTCGCTTCTGCAGACTAAACAGACCCAAGTCCCTCAGCCTCTCCTCGTAGGTCATATGCTCCAGCCCCCTAATCATTTTGGTGAGAACAGCCTCTCTCCATCCTCTTTGGAACCTCCCTTCAGGAAGTTGAAGGCTGCTATCAAATCCCCCCTCACTCTTCACTTCTGCAGACTAAACAGACCCAAGTCCCTCAACCTCTCCTCATAGGTCATATGCTCCAGCCCCCTAATCATTTTGGTTGCCCTCCGCTGGACCCTCTCCAATGCGTTCACATCCTTTTTGTAGTGGGGG